ATTGATTTTAATGATGATGGCAGCAGCAGCAGCAACAGTGGTAGTGGCAGTAGTAATTCACAACAAGCACATAAATCGCATCCAGATGCATATTATACAAGTAGAATATTAGATGAAGAGATTGCTAAATTTAGAAGCTTTAAAAATTATACAAGTAATGACAGTCCATTAGATACTCTTGGCTTTAACTCTCTTCTCTTTAATGCTGAAGGTGAATAAAAATCTTATTATTAATTAATTGAAAATTATTATCTATCCATTAATTATTGCTAACAATTATTTACATTAGATTCTAAAAGAGAGTGACCAATTTAATCTCCATTATAAATTTATTCACAATAATTATTTTATTTTATTTTATTTTTATTTCTAAATTATAATATGTAATAAGAATATTTTGATTCTTGTTAAATGGATATTGCAAGGTAGCCTTTTGATTATGGCTTAACTTTTGGGCTACTCTTGTCAATTAATTACAAGCAATACACAATACTTTGATACTTGTCATTAATAAATTTATGAATTTACATTGGTTCTCACTTACTGTCCCTTTCTTGTATGCGAATCTGTAAGCACACATTTAATGATACCAGATAACCGTAAACAAACAAATAGAGACGGCTCTTTACAAAGCTCAAAAGTTCCTTTTATTCACTGATCAAAATAAAGCAAACTTTTGCCAATCTTTTTTATATAATGAATACAGTAATAGTAAACAGTGTCAAAACTAACTCTCCCTTATATCGAGCGCTAACTGGATGTTGATATATCATGTGATTTTTTGTTAAGAATCATTTCTTGATTTATTAATATTAATACGAATTAATACGATTTCGATTAAGGCGACTGATTTTGAGAAAACATTCATGAAACGAAAAAAGTTTATAATATTTATTTAAAACAAGAGAAATTAAATATTTAATTAGCCGTTGTCATCATACTATTTTATAATGTTTTAATTTATTTAATTGAAGTTAATTCTTTTTTTTTTTTGAAATTTTGTTATTATTGCCATCATCATCATTATCATAATCATAATAACATAATATATATATATATCTTATCATTAGTACTCAACCTCTCTTAAAACCAATCCTGAAACATTTGGTTACTTGGACAAACCAGGATATTGGGGTGTACATGCTAAAGGGTAGATACATCAACATTATACGTCAAAACTATAATTTATTTATGCACGCATGCTCATACTAACACTCGCACTCGTTAATTCACATTTTTAATGATTAATTAGTGCTGTATGGGCTGGAATTTTATATGAAGTTTATTGGAATCTTGTTGACAAACTTGGGTTCACATCATCCTGGTTTCCACCAACAGATGAAGAAGATTATAGTTGGTATGATAGATCGATAATTGACGGATTCAATACAAATAAAATTCCAAAACATGGAAACACATTATTTTTACAATTAGTGGTTGATGGTATGAAACTTCAACCATGTAGACCAACTTTTATCAATGCAAGAGATGCAATCTTGCAAGCTGATGAAATCTTAACTGGTGGTGAAAATAAGTGCGAAATCTGGAAAGGATTCGCTAAACGTGGTTTGGGTGTCAAGGCTAAACTTGTTGGCGGTCCTGACTGGGGTGGTGTCAGAAAAGAAAATTTTGATGTGCCTACTTCTTGTTCTCACTTCT